CCCCTGCCTCCGGTCCCCTGATGCATACGTGGGCCCTCCCCTGGGGCACCCCTCCAGGCACACGGCGCATGCGCTGCCCAGTCGGCCCGGCCACCGCCGATGGTGTGCAGCCTGGGGCTGCCTGGGGTGGGCTGCGCCTGGCCGTGCAGGGCCCTGTGGCCGCAGGGGGAAGGGCGCTGCTGGCCGGTGCTGCGGGGGTTAACATGGCCCCCGCCCTGGGCGGCTGCTGCAGCCCGCCAGGAGCTGGGCGCCCCCCGTAGGTTGGCACCCTGGGCAGCTGCCTGGCTAGCCCGCCCCTTAGTCCGGCCCCTCCTCTGAGCCCGCTCCCACGTGACATACACCTGGGAGGGCCCAAATCCAGAAGGGGAGCTCTCCCGCTGCACTGTCGTCAATCACCAGCAGGCTGTGCAAGGACCCACGGTCCATCCCGAAGGCTGGCTCAGCCCTGCATGGCTCTATAATGTGCCCTGACTCGCAGGGCGCCCCCCGTCTGCTCAACAGAGACCGTCCACCCAAGTAACCTTGGCTCCGGTCCCTCTCTCCTCCTCAGAGGCATTCCACACACACACGGCCTGGCTGCAGGCCTCCCCCCCAGAGCGGGCTGCATCTCGGCAGTGCTGTGGTTGGAGAGCGCGAGGGGAGATTACCAAATAGGTTGTGCAATGCAGTTGTTACCACACCTGCCTTTCTGAACAGCCTTGGCCCGTCACGGCCCCGAGACGAGCCGCTAGCCCTCTGCCCTTTGGAAGCCTGGCCCTGAACAGCAGAGCCTGGAGAGGAAGCAGGCACAGTCCTAACCCCCTTCTCCTGCTTGCTGGGTTCATCCTTGCCGGAGAGCAAGCTCTGAGGGGCAGGTTGCACATCTCGTCTGTGCGCTACAAAGCATCATTCTGCCGCTCTACTCTGCGCTGATTGGGCCTCAGTTGGAGTCTTGTGTCCAGTTCTGGGCCCCACATTCCAAGAAAGATGTGGAGAAATCGGAGAAGGTCCAGAGTAGAGTAACAAGAATGATGAAAGGTCTAGAGAGCATGAGCTATGAGGGAAGGCTGAAGGAATTGGGCTTGTTTAGTTTAGAAAAGAGAAGATTGAGGGGGGACATGATAGCAGTTTTCAGGTATCTAAAAGGGTGTCACAAGGAGGAGGGAGAAAACTTGTTCATCTTGGCCTCTGAGGATAGAACAAGAAGCAATGGGCTTAAACTGCAGCAAGGGAGGTTTAGGTTGGACATTAGGAAAACCTTCCTGCCTGTCAGGGTGGTCAAACACTGGAATAAAGTGCCCAGGGAGGTTGTGAAATCTCCATCTGTGGAGATATTTAAGAGCAGGTTAGATAAATGTCTATCAGGGATGGTCTAGACAGTATTTGGTCCTGCCATGAGGGCAGGGGACTGGACTCGATGACCTCTCGAGGGCCCTTCCAGTCCTAGTGTTTTATGATTCGATCAGTGGTTTGCAGCCCGGTACTCAATGCACGTTCCATAAACTTGCTCCAATTCCAAACACAAGCAGTAACAGAGCAGCCAACTCAGGCTCTGCCGTAAGCTGACAGGACCTTAAGATCCTCAGAGCATGGTCCCACTCACGCCCCTTATTGGAGGGCAGGGGGATGTTGCTAGCCAGCCATGACAGACCTGCTGCCACGTGCCGCATCGTAAACCATGCCGGAGAATGGCCGGCCATCCAAACAGGAGAGCAAAGAGCATCCTCCAGGGAACTCAGAGAGGTTTTGGGCCTTCACCTTGGTGACCTGTTCCTAGCCAATGGCGGGCCAAGCCATCTCTTATTGGACCAACTTCTGCAGGAGAGAGAAACGAGCTTTTGAGCTCTCCAAGTCCAGGAAACGTCTGGTGTCACAGCTAAAGTCAAGCCCAAAGAGATGACTCAGCACAAGCAGTTCGCGCCCATTCCAAAGGATGAGCCAGCGAGCATCTGTCTGGTCTTGGAACGAGCGGCGACACTCGGTAAGCCCGAAAGCTGCCCGTAAGGTGGTGAGCAAGACGCGAGAAGTTCTTCTCCCGCTCTCCTCTGCGCTGATCAGGCCTCAGCTAGAGTATTGTGTCCAGTGCTGGGCGCCGCATTTCAAGAAAGAGGTGGAGAAATTGGAGACGGTCCAGAGAAGAGCAACAAAATGCGGAAAGGTCTAGAGAACAAGAGCTATGAGGGAAGGCTGAAAGAATTGGGCTTTAGTTTAGAAAAGAGAAGACAGAGGGGACATGATAGTGGTTTTCAAGTACCTCAGAGGCTGTTATAAGAAGGAGGGAGAAAAATTGTTCTCCTTGGCCTCTGAGAACAGGACAAGAAGCAATGGGCTTGAATTGCAGCAAAGGAGGTTTAGGTTGGACATTAGGAAAAACTTCCTACCTGTCAGGGTGGTTAAACACTGGAATAAATTACCCAGGGAGGTTGTGGAATCTCCATCACTGGAGATATTTAAGAGCAGGTTAGACAAACACCTGTCAGGGATGGTCTAGACAGTGCTTGGTCCTGCCGTGAGGGCAGGGGACTGGACTTGATGACCTCTCAAGGTCCCTTTCCGTTCTAGTGTTCTATGAAAGTTTACGTAACCCACCACAAGTTGATCCAACAAGAGAGACCCCCCCTCCCCCCGCCTTGACTCTCCTGAGGTTTGTCATGCCCTTTGGGTTCTTTTGCTTCGCCGGCTGGTTTCTGAGCCTTTAGGTTGCATGGTCAAGTCTTGTGCCACAAGCAGGAGGGCTGGCCGCTATTCCCAGAAGCTGAGACTGCCGTGTAATAACAGGACTCCAGGAGCAGGAGCTTTATGGACCGCCGCCAGTGGAGCGCGAGCTGGCCGAGTGGCCAGGGACAGCACTCAGAGCTCCAGTCTAGGGGACCGGAAGCACCTTCTCTCCTTACTCATCAGACAAGCTGCCCCTGCGGTCCTTGGGGGAGGGGAGGAACGGCCCACGCGGTGCAAACAAGCAACAGAAAGGAGCAGCACCGTGAAGATAGGCCGAGGGTCACCTGCCGGGCCTGACCCCGGAACTGCTGCGTGAGCGGAAGGACCAGATGGGCTGGCTCCGAGGCAGTAGCAGCCGAGTGGATCCCATGACACGGCAGACACAGACCCGCACCGGGAGCCGACGAAGCCGGGGTCGCCGAAGAACACCCGTGGGCGGGCTGACGTCCTGCAGGCTCGGGAGGCTGCTCCCCTGGCTCAGGGCGGAGAGGTGGCCCCAGCCCAGCCAGCAGACTGCTCTACCTCCTGCCAGCTGGCTCCAGGCCCCAGCCAGAGAGCTCTCACATCACGCTGACCGTGGGGGAATCCGCAGGCAGGGTTCTGCTCCCTTCGGGCCATCTGAGCGGCACGGAACCAGGCCTCGCCGCTGGGATTCACCGGCTGCAATGGCATGTTCCCACGCGTGGGTGAGGCAGGGCCTGGTGGAACCCAGAGACCGACCCGCACCTTCACGGAGACGAACCACAGCCCCAACCCCGTGGCAATCCAGGCCTGCCCCCAAGAACCACCCTCCTGGGTCAGACGGACATATGAAACCAGGAGAGCACCTCTCCCTTTCTTCTGCACCCCCTTGCTGCTGCACCGCCTGGTGCCCATCACCCTGGTATCTAAGCGCTTCCCAGGTGACCGACAGCTGCACAAGTTTTCTTCCCTTCTCCTTTCCCTGCTGTGGTGGGCTCTTCCCTGCCCCCGCCCGGGCAGCAGTGTGGGCTTCCCCTCCCTCCATCGAGTGGAAGGCTGCCTAGACAGCCATCTGATGCTGCATCAGCTCGGATAGCTCTGAGCCGCTTTCACGGAGACACTCGTCACTGGTGCACCACAGCGCTGCAGCCGAGATAGGCCGATAAGGCAGAGCAGCTGCAGGAAGACTGGCTGCGTCTCTCACGACAGTCCCCGGTCCGGAGCCGAGAGACCCGCGGGCGCTCTTAAGAGCAAGTCTGGGTGGGTGGAGTTTGCGGGAGGCAACCAACAGGCTGGTCCTCAGCCGCTTTCACGGAGACACTCGTCACTGGTGCACCACAGCGCTGCAGCCGAGATAGGCCGATAAGGCAGAGCAGCTGCAGGAAGACTGGCTGCGTCTCTCACGACAGTCCCCGGTCCGGAGCCGAGAGACCCGCGGGCGCTCTTAAGAGCAAGTCTGGGTGGGTGGAGTTTGCGGGAGGCAACCAACAGGCTGGTCCTC